TCTTTAGATCAACTTTATCTTTTTTAGATAGTCTTTTTTTAGATCTCATCTTTATCTTTAGATCATCTTTATCATTTAGAACATCTATAGATTCATCTTGATATCATCTATATAATCTTTATCATATTTTTCATATCTTCTTTTATTCATATTTATCATCTTTAGATCATATTTTATCTTCTTTAGATCATATTTTATCTTTTTTAAGTGCATCTTTATGTTTTTAGAATATATATTTTCGAAGCATCTTTATCTCTTTAAAAAAAAAAGCATCTTTATCTCTTGATGAAATATATTTTTTTTAAAAAAAAAAAAGAAGATAGCTCTAGGCCTTCTCTACTTTATCTATTTAGATTAGAAATAGATCTCATTTTTTTTCTTCTTATATTTTGTTGTCAAACCTTATCTGTATAGTTTATAATTTTCTTGACATCATCTTTTTTAAAAAATAAAAAATAAAAATATATTTTTTTTTTCTTTTTAGGCGCATCTTGATCTTGTTTTTTTTAAATAGCTAAAAAAAAAAGACTAAAAAAAAGAAAAAAAAAAAGAGAAGATTTTTGTTACATAATATTTCTAGTCATGCCTGGAGTTCGTGATAACTCAAAACTCAAATATTGAGTTTACTGCCCTTACTAAACCCAAAGAGCTAAGCAACATGATCAATCTTTTAACGGCACTGACCCCCATTACATTTACTCATAATGACATACATCTGGGGTTCAATCGTTTTCACACTCATCCACTTTATATCACTGTTTTCATGAGTCGTTATGAAATCAAGAAAGTAATGGTTGACAATGGGGCATCTTTGAACATCTGTCCCTTAAAAACTATTCTAAGAGTAGGGTTATCACAAACAAACCCTGAGGCCTCAAACATCTCAATTGCAACCTATGATGGGGCTCAAAGAAAAACCTTAGGGATCATCCCTCTCACTCTTAAGATTGAGCCGGTGGTCCAAATAGTGAGGTTTTATGTCATTGATATTGAACCTTCTTTCAATCTACTCATTGGCAAGCCATGTCTACATGAAAATCTTGTTGTGGCCTCCACTTTGCACCAATGCCTGAAGGTCCCAACTATTGAAGGAATGGCTTGCGTATGTTCAGATGTAGTCAAAGCAGTGAAAGAGAAACTCTCTGAAAACTTGAAAATTCAAGAGATCTCACTTCTAACATATAAGGAAAATTGTGTTATGATCCATGAAACGCATGAAGTGTCTGAGAAATTGAAAATTTATTACAGTCATTACGATTTCAGTTCGTCCATAGCATGGAATATGTTATTGGCTCAGGGGTACTACCCCGGCTCTGGCCTTGAAAAAAATGGGCAAGGTGCTGCTGAGGCAATTACTCATTCCCCTCATGCTAAAGGAGACACCGACGATCGAAGAGGGTTGGGTTGCACACTTTCTAAACTTCAATGTAAACTCAAATCTTCTTAGTATCCAAGTTTTATTCTTGGAGGAATTAAAGGTCTTGACCACCAAAAGACTGAATTTCTTTCAAAACTGAAGATCATAATTGAAATTCCTCTAGAAGAATAGTTGTTAGAACAACAATTGTCTTGGCCTACACTTGGAGCCCATATTGTGGCTACCACCTCCTCGGCTCCCAAGCACACTAGGGCAATTACTGAAAATTGGAGCATTACTCCCTTATCTATTGAATCCATCAAGGGGATACAACGACACTTTCAAGTCCATGTGCCAAGAAAAGGGGTTGGCGCAGGATGCCTAAACAAGCATCTTGTGCGAAGCCTCTCTAACACCATTACCTTTCAAATTGTAGAAAATGCAGTCAAGACCTTTGATAGATCCAGTGAAAATTTGAACGAAGTCAAGGAAGAAAATGAAATGAAACAAATGAAGACACACCTCTTGATGAAAATTTCAAGGCAGATGAAGAACCTTCCACTGAGGAACTCATGTTTCAAGCTGAGCAGTTTAAGACAAGATTCGATGGTAGTCTTATTGCTATTGTCAAGGAGACCTTAGACATTAATCTAGGAATTGAGAAAGATCTAAAGATCACAAGAATTTGAAGCTCTCTGTCACCAGAAGAACAAGACAAGATGATCTCCATCTTAAAAGAATACATTGATATATTTGCCTGGTCCTATGAAGATATGTCTGGCTTAAATCCCGAATTGGTACGACACCATCTTGTACTCCATAAAGCGGTAGGAGCCATCAAACATAAATTACATCGACAAAAGCCTCACTTGGAGTTGAAGATAAAAGAAGAAATTGACAAACTTTTAAAGGCAAAGTTCATCTTACCTTTGGACTATCCGGATTGGTTAGCCAATATCATTGTAGTACCTAAGAAAGATGGGAGAATCAGAGTTTGTATCGACTATAGGGACCTGAACAAAGCATGTTCTAAGGATGACTTTCCTCTTTCAAATATAGATGCCCTAGTTGACAACACTGTTGGACACCAAATGCTATTTTTCATGGATGGTTTCTCTGGCTACAATCAAATCCTCATGGCGAAAGAAGACCCAAAAAAGACTTCCTTCATCATGCAATGGAGGACATACTGCGATAGAGTCATGTCTTTCAGTCTTAAAAATGCTGGGGCAACCTACCAAAGAGCTATGGCTGCTATATTTCATGACTTGATGCATGACATTATGGAAGACTATGTGGATGACATCCTCGTCAAATCCAAAACTCGGGATACCCTTCTTCCCAATTTGAAAAGAGTATTTGACTGACTTCGAGAGCATCAATTAAAGTCGAATCCTTAGAAGTGTGCCTTCAGTGTTGAGTCTGGCAAGCTACTTGGCTTCATTGTGAGCCAAAGAGGAATAGAAGTGGACTCAATGAAAATTAAGGCTATCTCATAAATGCCACCTCCAAAGAATATTAGATAAATTCATTGGTTGCAAGGTAGAATGCAGGCTATCCGGAGATTTATATCCCAATTAGCTGAAAAATGCGGTCCATTCAATCATTTATCTAAGATGAGACATATAAAAAAGCCTTCGATCATATAAGGGAGTACCTTCTCATCCACCGATCTTGAGTCCACCTGATTCCAATAAACCTTTATTCATTTACCTTGCTATGACAGATAAGACTATGGGGGCGATGTTAGGCCAATATAATGACCAAGGAAAAAAGAAAATCATCTACTACATCAGTAAGACAATGGTCGACTATGAAATACGAGACTCGGATGTGGAAAAACATTGTCTAACCTTAGTGTGGGCAACTCAAAAGTTAAGGCCTTATGTGTTGTCTCATTCCATCAAGTTGATATCCAAGATGGATCCACTCAAGTACCTGCTAGAAAGACATATTCTACATGGACGATTAGTCAAATGGAGAATGCTCTTAAGTGAATTTGACATCGAATATGTTACTCAAAAATCAGTCAAGGGGCAAGCAATTTCCGATCATTTAGCTGAACATGTCTTACATGACTGCGTCCCCATCAAAACGGATTTCCCTAATGAGGACCTCTTTGTCATTGAGGATCCCACTTGGGAGTTATACTTTGATGGGGCTAGGAATGAATATGTCACTGGTATCAGAGTCATCGTATGCTCTCCAGAGAAAATAATGTTTCCAATCGCTATAAGGCTCAATTTTTCCTGCACAAGCAATGTTGCAGAATATGAAGCCTTAATATCTGGTCTCGAGAACGCCTGTGAACTCCAAATTGAACAATTACGGGTCATGGGAGATTATTTGCTTGTAATAAATCAAGTGAACGGAGAATGAAAGATTAAAGACAAAAAGCTCCAACTCTACCAGGACTCAGTTTCAAAGTTGTCAAAGTGCTTCAAAAGAGTAACCTTTCAACATGTGACTCGAAAAAACAATCGGTTCACCGATACCTTGGCCACTCTCGCATTAATGGGGAACATTCCTCCCCAAATGAGTGTCCAACCATTCTATATTCGACACAAAATCTATATTAGACACAAAATTAATCTTTCTCCTCCCAAGATGGAGTCAGAAGAAGAAGATCAAGAATCAGAGAGGGAAGAAGAAATGTTCTCCCTCGGGGCCAACCAGATAGTCAAAGCTAAGGCCTGATATCATGATGTATCAGCCTTACTCAAAGATGGAATGTATCCCGACGGAGCCTCAAAGAGAGACATGGATGCCTTAAGAAGCTTCTCAATCAACTGCTTGATTTAAGACGACATCCTCTACAAGAAGTCCTTTGAAGGAATCCTCCTAAGGTGTATTGACCAACCAGAGGTCAACACAGTGCTCAAAGAACTACACAAAGAAAGCAGACATTCAGAGACAACACTCCTAGCTCATAAAAGTCAGAAGATAAGGATCCTACTAGACTACTATGGCTGAAGACAGTTGGAAATATGTGAAGAAACGCCCTAAATGTCAAGTTTATAGGGATCCCATACATGCTTCTTCCATGTCACTCAATCCAAAACCTCTGCAAGAGTTAAAATAAATCAAACCCCTAGAAATTCTAAGGGGACCGCCTGGGCCACTTTCACAGAATTTTCTGAATAACCCACCTATATGGGATGAAGAACCAAACATTAAAGATAAAATCATATTATTTCCTGAAGAGAAAGGATTCAAAGAAAATGATAGGGGCAAGGGCATGATTCCACTACTTGGGGCACCCCTCATTCAAATAAAAGAAGAAGATCCAACAGAGGCAATTCTATCCACCAGTTTGATAGGGATCACCCCATTTTATGAAAATACTGTGGAGGCGGTCTCATCCAAGATATTGATTGTCTCATCAAATGGAGCAGACCCTATAGGGGCAACCCTATCAAACCACTTGATAAGGGTACCCTCACTTGATGATGAAAATAACGCATGGGCAATAGGTGAGGCTCACGCCTTATATGAGGACTCCCAAAACGCCTTGAGGCGATGTGCTCGTCAAGAGCAACATGAAGTTGCAACTGAAAAAGATTATCGAAAAGGCTTGTGGTGATCACTTATTTCTCCCTTTCAAATAAGTCAAGTGGGGCATCCATGCTCTGCTTAAGCATTCTACTCTATGGTATTGACAACCTAAGGAGTTGAAAAAAAAAAAAAGGGGGAAAAAAGATGAGCTTAGCCAACCCAACAAGAGATTGAAGGATTAGGATACTCGGAGTGACTCTGAGTCTAAAAATCAAAGCTCGAGTAAAGCAGTTCAAGGAAGAAATATTCTATAAAGATTCGACAACCTTTGTCAAGGAAGTATTAGATACCAACTAGGACTAGGAAAATCGAAAGATAACCAAGACTAGGACCTCCCTGGCATTAGGAAGAAGGAAAGATGATAGAATTCTTATTTGTTTTGTTTAGGACGAAGTGCCAAAAGAAGGAAAAAAATGTCACCAACTCTTCTCCTCCTCCTCTGTTTCCATCTTCTTCAAAAGAAAAGAAAAGAAAAAAAATCCTCCAAGATAAAAATCGAAAAAGAATCTCGAGTGTTGGAAAAAGGGCCACTGGGCTGAACACCCAAAAGGGACCCTAGTGACAGAGAGGAAAAAAAAAAAATTCTACCGAGCTAAAAATCCGAAAGGAACCCCGAGCGTTAGAAAAAAAGCTACCGGGCTGAACACCCGAAAGGACCCCAAGGCGATAGAAAAATAGAACTTCTCTATCTTTTCGTCTCTTCTCCAAAATCTCTAGAAATTCTTCTCTTCTCAAGTCAAAATGGCGTCAGAAAGCAAAGGAATGCATTAGTCAAAGTAAAAATTGAAGAGGCTCGACTATCTGAACTTCAAAAGAATGGTAGTGGAGGAACAAAATTGAAAGTCCAAGGATATTTTGAGCACTCTGAGGCACATTTCATATTATCCAAGGTACCAGTTTGCTCGAAAAAACAAAAAAAAATTTCTTTGAATTGTGACATAAAAGCCAAGATTGGAAGATGAGGAAGTACTTAGTGATTTCTCGTCTTGAAAGTCCCAAGTAGAGGCTCGACAAGCTCATTAAAAAAAAAAAAAGAGGAAGAAGAAGAAGAAGAAGAGATAGCTCCATAGTAGCATGAGCCTAAACTGCTTACCAAAACTTGTTTTTCAAGATTTCTCATCCATCTTCAAAATTTCCCTAATGTGTTTCGTGAGTTTTCAAAAACCTTAATTTCTTTGGTTAAAATGTAGCCCGAAACTCTGTTTCCGTTTCAAAATTCAATCTATCTTCAAAACTTTCTAAAATGTTTTTAAAAAACGAAGGAGTTTCATGGAGGCTTGGATATGATGCATCTGCCACCACCAAATCCTGGATTGCCATGCTTGCAAAGCCTTAGGAAAACAAAGACCAACCCATAGGTTCCCATACCAAAAAGCCTGAACTTGTGGACCCCAATAATCAGAATCAAAGGCGAACAAGAAGTTCAATTAGCCAGAAATACATCATCCCATCATTTCATCTAAATCAAAATCCCATTCGATTGGAAAATCAAACCCCGATAAAAAGGTCTAAAGTCGAAGATGACTACACTGACAACTTCCCAGGTAGCATTGAAGTGACTACAATAAGGAATGTCACTGGCTCAAAGATGGCACGGTTTCTGTTGATTGTCACTTCGGATCCCGACTGTCGGAGACCTTTCAACCGCACTGAATCAAAGATAGCAGTGCCAGTTCGATGTCTTACGGATCAAAAATATCCATCGACTTACCACCTACCCAAAGGGTACTGGTCATTCAAAATAATAATCCCTCAAAAAATATTTTCCTTCCTATCATGTCTCAGGTGTCTACTTCTTTGTCATTGACCTGGTGCCCCAAGTGAATAACAAAGAGGGGCAACTGTAGACACCCCTTCGAAATTCTGGCTAACGAAACTCTTAAAAACCTCGATTCTGGTCCTAAATGACCATACAAACCCTAATAGACCATAGGCAACTTAAACCCAATTTAAGTAACCCAAAACTTCCCAAACTTATTTCAACTTGAAGTAGAGCCCGAGATCTTTCCAACGGTTCAATAATTGCTTGAATCGGACCTACGGATAAAAAGATATAACAAATATCAATCTGGTCAATGTGGGTTGATGATGTAGTCAACGCATCTGATGACGCAGTAAACACGTTTTCTTTAATTAGATAAGGCTAAAACTTCAAAATAAATCCAAACAAATAAAAAAAACTTCAAATTTTTTTTTAAAAAATCACTAATGGAGTTATATAAATACTCCCTTCATAAGCCAAAAGAAAGAGACTAGAAATCACAAATAAATCCCTTAGAAATTCTTGAAATTAGAAAAATAGCCCAAAAATACCAAAAATAAGAAAACCCTTAGAAAATTCCTAAAAAATTTAGAAAAAATTTAGAAAAAATTCCAAAAAATTAGAGAAAATCTCAATCTCTGGAGATCCTAAAACCTTTAGAAAACTAAAAAAATTCTCCTCCAATCCCAAAAAGAGCCTAAGTAGACCCTACCTAAAATTCTCAACTTTTCTCCTGCCTTAATAACCCTAGATCTAGGTCAAAAGAACCTTAGATCTACCAATTTCAACAAGCAAATGCATCCAAAAAATGAGATGAGGGTGTAAATCAAAATAGTGGCATGATCGAAGCCTGAAACTCGGGGTTTCGGGTCTGTAGAGGTAAGTATATATTTCTTTGCTTTATTTAGTTTGTTTTTCTTCATTTAATTATCTATTTTATTTTTATTTTTATTTTAAAATAATTCATCATTAGATTTAATTCAATTTAGAAGCGTTTTTTTTGTCAAAATACAGATTTGGAGCTGGCGCTGCTAGTGGACTCAGGAAAAGACCGGATCTATATAGATTTGATATTTTTCTGAGCCTATAATTCAAGCGACCCTGCTTTCTCTACCTTTTTAAAAAGTAGCTCAATTTTTTTTAAGATTTGAGCATATCTCATTACAGAGATCATTACATATTGGAGTGAACACACATTGCTTGGGCAAATGGAGAAATGAAGCTATATTGGAGATTATGCAGCATTTTCGATGAAATCTTTTTCATTTTAAGTAGTGGTTCTTTTGAGTTATCTCGTTATTTTAGATAAGCTAATATAGAAGCTTATGCTTTAGCAAAAAATTGATGTGCACCGACATCAACATCCACAGGTGGTTACATCATTTGTTTTTTAAACCTCGTTGTAATTGTTCGTAGGTAAATGACATTCATAGTAGCTTAGTTATGAATTTTCCTACGAAAAAGGGTAACGATGCAATGTTTGACCTTTTTAAGGGCATTTCCATCCTCTCCCCCAAATTTAAATTCATAATTTCTCTTATTTTCCATATCTCTCTTGTTTTCTCTCGCTAGTTGTCATGGTCGGCCCCTCTTCGTTCTCCTTCTATAAATACCCCTTTCTCTCCCTCTGCAACAGTGGAAGTGCGAGTGTACTCTCTCACACTAAACCTAGAACTCAAATGAACGAGCTCCAAACCCATGAAAACCCTAATTTCTCTCTCTAAAATCCTAGTGGACATGATACTCTGATCCTCTAAAGAACACTAATTCTATCCTCAAAACCCTAGAGAGATGGCTCCAGAGCCATTTAACTGAACCCTAGCCATGTCTTCACAGCATACTGAACTCCCTGAAACCCCAGATTCCGGCCAAGAGTCCGGCCAAAGTCGGAAATCCGGTGATTTTCCAGCAAGTAAATTGAATGCGGAGGCCCCAGCGTTTGTTCCTTCCATGAATTCCAGTCCATTCTGGCATGGCTCGAGCTCCAGGCATTTAATGCCTCAGGTCCATCACAGGCAAGTCTTACCCTTTCATCCTGTTCATGCTCATCATGGCCATTTCCCATACTTTGGCTATGGAGATCAAGAGCATGCTGGCATGGCTACTGATCCTGATCCAAACCCTAGTAAGGAGGTTATATCTGAAGAACTTAGTAACAAGGTTGTTAAGCAGGTATAGGGTTGATCACTTGTATAATTTTGTTCAAATTTTTGTAAATTGTTTAGTAGTGATCATCTTTTGTTTTTAATTTTTTTTGACAAATTTTGAGATTTTTTTCGTCTCAGTGTTCATTAAATTTGTTTAATGCAATTTCAGCTAAGGACTAGAAATTGTACTCTCTCTCTCTGCCTCTCTCTAACATATGCATCACATAGAAAACCACTTCAATTATGTTGCATTAATTCCGATTAACATTGAATTGTTATTTTTAACTGTGGAAACTGGGTAGGCTCTTACCATATGAGCTGCCTTGTTGTGAAATTGAATTCCATACCTATATGCTCTTACTGTATTAGGAGAAAATTTGAAAGATCTATACGAATCTACTATGACTATATTAGGTTAAGACTGTTAGGCATACTAACGTTTCTTATGATTAAAACAAAATCATATGTTTTCTTGTTGAGGTGCTTGAATTGGATTTTTCTGTGTTTGGGAGAAATTTTTGAAACCTCTTTGATCGCCAGAGAACTAAATTAGTAAATTTAATTTTAGGAGTTTTATAGCTTGTGGATAATGACAAATGATTGAAGTCTTAAATTCAAATGACTCAAGATGATCATGTTTTATTATGTTTACTTGAAGAGTGTTAAATCATGATTCTGGCATGAAATGAAGTGATAACAACCATTCAGACAAAAAAATAAACCTGATAAGGGATTTTTATATTTATTGGGAATACAATTCCTGGGCACTCGTAGATGCCTTGTTAATTTTCATTCAGCTCAATTTTCAGGTTGAAGCCTGTTTGATTAGTCAAATTTTAATATTTCAAACTACCTTGAGAAGAAAGAAAAGATAAGCCCATATATACCGTTATACTTGCTATTTGCAGGCATTCTCTGCTCTATTTCCTTCCAATACCTTCTTTCCTTCAATTTTGGATTCCCTACCTTTTTGGTTGAGAAGCCCTACATTCAATGCAGGAGATGGTTACAACATATTGGGGTAGTGGGGCATATTGCCCCATTGGCCACCACTCAAATCTTTAGTTGTAGGGCTTGCACATGTATATATATATGTCAAAGTATCATATATGCACTGCGGAGCCTGTTGGGATATCTTTTGAATGTTGTAACTTGAGCTTCGGGTGACCCATATAGCCCTAGGCGATCTTTCACCTCAGTTATACAATTTTGCTTATTTGAACTGTTGTTTGTCCTATTTAAAGAGCTTTATGCTTAGATATGAGTGGGGGTAACTTCCATGTGATTGCTTCAATCATAGAGAGATTATTATGAAGGTGTAGTTGGCCGTATTTTTTTGCTTTTTTGAAGAAATGTTAACTTGGGCATGATTTATTAAAAAGAAAAAATAAAGAAAGATCATCATCATTTTAGCCTTTTCCCAATTAATTGGGGTTGGCTACATGAATCCCGATTCTCCATTCTGCTCTATTAAAGGCCATATCTTCAAGGAGGCTATAAGTTCCCATATCTTTTCAGATTACTTCAAACCACCTCCTTTTGGGCTTACCCTTTGTCCTTTTCAGTCTTTCCACTTGAACTAATTCATACCTCTTAACAGGTGTTGTACTTGGTCGGTGCCACACATGGCCAGCCCACCTAAGTCTACTCTTTCTCATTTTATCGCCTATTGGTGCCACGCCTAAATTCTCTCGAATAGTTTCATTGCAAATTCTAACCCTTTTTGTCTTGCCCCTCATCCATCTCAACGTACTTTTCTCCGCTACTCTCATTCTATGGGTATATTGTTTTTGTCCGCCCAACATTCCGCCTCATATAGCAAAGCTGGCCTCACCGATGTCCTATAGAACTTGCCCTTCAACCTTATTGGTATGCGGCGATCACATAAAATTCCAGTTGCATATCTCCACTTTGCCCACCTACCTCTAATTCTGTGTGCGACATCTTCCTTGATCTCTCCATTTTCCTGGATTATCGACCCAAGATATCGAAAGTGCAGTCTTTTTTGAACTTCTTGGCCGTCAATATTAATTACATCCTCGTTTCTACTCTTATTATCACTAAATTTGCAGTCCGTATACTCCGTCCTAGTCCGACTAATTTTAAAACTTTTGGATTCTAGAGCATCCCTCCAAAGTTCTAACTTTGTGTTGATGTCGTTTCGGGTCACATCAATCAAAGCTATGTCATCTGCGAACAACATGCACCACGGTACCTCATCCTGTGGGTGCTTGGTTAAGTCGTCCATAACTAAGACAAAGAGGTACGGGCTCAATGTTGATCCTTGATGTAGATCTATTGTCACTGAAAACTCACTCGTTTCTCCACTAGTTGTTCGTACACTAGTAACTGCTCCATCGTACATATCCTTCACCAAGTCGATGTAGTGTCTGGAGACGTCTTTCTTTTCCAACACCCGCCAAATCAAAAATCAAATCTCGAAGTACTCTATCATAAGCTTTCTCTAAATCAATAAAGACCATGTGGAGGTCTTTTCCCTTCACCCTAAACTTCTCAATCAGTTGCCTAAGTAGGAAACTAGCCTTAGTTGTTGACCTTCTTGACATAAAACCAAATTGGTTTTAAAAAATAAAAAAAGATAAAAAACTCAAAATGTGATTTGTAAAATAGGTATAGCCTCTTGACCACGGTTTTCCCATATAATCGACCAAGAAATCCTTGGTTTTGGTGAAACCAAGCTTGGCAATATTTCACAGTCATTTGGACGTCACAAATTTATTGGACCTTGGTGGTCACACATTCATCCAATACGTGCTCTGAAACTTGAAGGTTTTCGTCAAGATACAGGCCTCATGCCCATTCACCACAGTTATGTTCTTTGAGTCTCATACTTGCCCCAAATCAATCAAACTGATTAGTTCATACTGCTTAAAGTTTGTTTTGGTCATTTGATCATATTTATGCTGAATCTAGGTGTGATTGCTCTGAAATTGGCATATCATAGGTCCACTCATACATTCACCAGAATTATGTACTGTTGCATTGAAATCAAGACTAATCAGACTCCAGCTTATTTAAAATTTGGAAGTTGGAATATTCTCGCTTCTAGCTATAGGACTAGGTCTTGTTGACCTAATGAGACTATTTGGGAATGTGGGATGGCATTTTGCTGCATTCTTTTCCTACGCAATGGTTAACTTTGTTCCTACCTGTACTAAGCTATATTGCGTATCTCTTGAATTCTTGAATTCTTTTGAACTTGGGGTGATATAAAAACCACCCAAACATTATAAGAACAGTAAAATCATTGGGAGCCCTCAGTTCGAGTGCGCAGATCCAAGATGAATATTCTCTTGAAAATTTGGGGCAGTCGATTAAGTTGGGGCAATGTTTCGGTTCATCAGTTGGACATTATTTTATGTTTCATGCCTTTATTTGTACAAGATGCTATTAGGCTAAAGCAAAACTGGCTAACTAGTATTTTCATATGGTCATTAAATCGTTTCTGAAGCTTTTAGCAGACATGATTGGTATTATTTTTCTATCTAATTTTCTGAAATCTGTCTAATTCATGGCGTTGCCTTTATTTGTAGGTTGAATACTATTTCCGTGATGCAAATTTGGCAACTGGCGACCACTTGATGAAATTTGTGAATAAAGATTCTGGAGGGTTTGGTCAGATGCTTGATTACTTTTACTCCTGATCTAGTTTTTTGACTGCTTTAGGGTTATGCTTTACCTGCTTGATTGACCATGTGTGAACAATTTTCTCATGTGTGAAATATTTTCTCAAGTATGTTAAATCTGTTTTTGTGAACAACCTATGAGCGTGCTTGCATGCGGCATGTGGGTACCTATCTACATACATACATGCACATAAACACATATGCATGTGCAAAACCTTAATATACCTGGACACTTGTTTGTCCTCTATATAACATATTAGCATCAATATGATACAATACCAATACTCTGGGATGGTTTGATGTATAGAATAATAAAAAATTAGAAATGTAACAAATAAGATGTATAGTAATGCATGATAATATGAGATTCCTTACTGTCCTGAAGTGAAATATGATATGATATGATCATTGGTAGCTCTTGTTTGGGAAATCCTCAAATCCCAGCACTGCAGAACTTACCCAAAATAATAAATAAATAAATAAATAAGAGCCATGTCCATAGATAATGGCATGGTTTGGATGGGTGAGATGTCTCAATAAGGCCTTAATTTGGAGATCATCTCCAACAGATGGGGAATACCACTTACAGGTTTTTAAGTCATGTACAAGCCAAGCATATGGTTGACCACCTCGTTTTTTATTGATGCTCCGCAGCAAGTGTTTGTTCTATTTCCTACATGTTTTGGTTTGGCACCTTGTTATACCTGCCTCAATAGTTTATTTATACTAAAATTGGGTATAAAATCTTTTCTCCAAAAGTATCTGTAGTGGTAGAATGCATGCTTGGCATGGATCTTGTGGGGAATTCGGAAGGAGAGAAATAAGAGGATTTTTTGAAGGGGCATCAAAGGCTTGAGATAGTGAAGCAGGAAGGAAAGGTGAGAGATTAAATCTACCTTTCTCCTGAACCTCGAACAAGTAAAATCAGCAATAATGAAGAAAAAACATGGTTGTATATCAATCCAAGAGAAGAACTTTCTTCTTTCACAAAATAAATTTCATTCCAAGTAAATTAAGTCTCCCAAAATTTGACATCCAACCTTTTATCAGCCTATGAAACCCTAAAATTAATTTGAGACCCAAGTAAATATTTAAGACTCTAAAATAGCACTAAACAATACAAAAATTTCAGAAAAAACCTCTGTGAATAGTAATGTGTGAACAGTAACATGTGAACAATACCCATGAACAACAAATAAAAAATATTAAATATAAAAAAACCCTAGAATCCCTAAAAACTTAAAATCCGAATAATAAATCATACAAAAATTAAAAATACATCTCTTGAAATTAAACAAAAATTAGAAACTAGAATAATTTTGTCATGCATCATTCTCCCTAAACTCATCCCCGAGTTTTAAAATGAGCTAGGACGACTTCAGTGTTAAACCCATGATCTTCTTCAACCTTGAAGGCCTTGTCACGATCCTTAGAACAATATTCAAATGTTTCCATCTTTAGATACACAACCTCTCGATAGTGAAATAAGATGCATCTTCATTATTAGTTTCAATGTGCTTTTTGTAATTCTTGATCATATTCTCGAAATCCTCATGTGTTGTATTTCTAGCCTTCCTGCTTTTTGACTCCTTCATCACCTTATTTCTTTCTTCCCTAAAATCTTCACCAGTTGAGCTCCTTTGGGTTTGGGTCAACATTTTGCTTCTCCATCTCTCCATTCATGAGAAAGTAAGATATCCTTGCTGCCGCAAGACTAACTTCTTTCGTTTGAACTAGTTCTCATCAAATATAGGACCTTCATCAAAGATGGGGTCGCCTTTGAAATCAAGGAATGATGATTCCAATTGAAGATTCAAACCTACATGTTCTTCATCTTCAACTGATACTTCATCAAAGTTAGTGGTTCTTCTATCACACTTAGGTAGGTCAATTTCAATATTGAAATCCCAAGATCTATGCTCCCGAATATGAAGCTCCCGCCGCGGAGTGCATGTGTAGAACGGATTAACAAAAATAACACCTGACTCACAACCGCTATCATAATGTGTCGGGTTGATTCATGCCATTCTCTATAAAAACCCTCGCGATTTGGATCTATCCCCGTAGATTCCTCTTTGTTTAAGGCATGTGGCCTCGCTTGTGCAGCAATTCCTCTATAACCCTCTCCATAAAGTTGTTGATTTCCTTGCTTAGTTGGATCAAATTGGCATCCCTACGGCTAAGACCTCTACGACCAGCCATCGCAGGCTCTAACCGTCTTCGAACCATAATGTTTTGATACCACTTGATGCAAGAAGGAAAGGTGAGAGGTTAATCTACCTTTCTCCTGAACCTCGAACAAGTAAAATCATCAATAATGGAGAAAAAACATGGTTGTATATCAAGCCAAGAGAAGAACTTTCTTCTTTCATTAAATAAATTTCATTATAAGTAACATAAGCCTCCCAAATTTGACATCCAACATTTTATAATCCTATGAAACCCTAAAAGTAACTTGAGACCCAAGTAAACATTTAAGACTCTAAAATACCCTTAAAAAATACAAAAAAATCATATATACCTCTATGAACAGCAACACGTGGCAGTACCCATGAACAGTAACTAAAAAATAAAAAAAACTAGAATCCCTAAAATACTAGAAAACCCTAAAAATAAATCCTAAAACTATTAAAATATACATCGCTTAAAATTAAACAAAAATTAAAGATTAGAATAATTTTGTTATGCATCTAATAGTTTGTGACATCATAAATGATATATGGCCATTGGATGGTGACGTTTGTGGCCTGGTTGTGTTAGACTTGTTCCGTTACTGGAGCATTCTAGCTATGGAGTCTAGCCCGACCTTTGTGATTCTTGTGAGGTGGATTCCTTCATTGAATGGCATTATGAAGGCCATCTTTGATGGAACTAGAAGAGAAATCCTAAAGCCTTTTGTATGGTATTCAATCAGATTAGTTTTATTGACCTAAGGCCAGATAAATCGGGATCACTAAGTTAGTTGAGGTGAAGGCTCCATGACTACGCTTTAGGTTTCCTCTCAAATCTTGACAAGCCCATTTGTAGTGGAGAGTGGCTTGCTCAACATGATTAGATTGGCGAGTAGGAACCTCTTATCAAATTAGAGGATTCCTTTGAGTAGATAGAAGATGCTTCTCTTTTGAGCATTTCTCAAGCTGACTCCTGACGCCATCAGAATTGGCATCACTTGACATCATAGTTCTTGCGATCTTGCAATTCAGGTGGTGATCCCACACTTCCAAGAAAGGGATTTTCAATGGATCTTATTTTTAAATTTTGGTATCTCAATCTTTATTGTTAGGGATCGCGATCCCCACCTTAAAGACCAAGATAACAATCAAACTGAGGGTTTTCTTTGTTATATAGCCAGCTAGCAATGCAACTATATTAAATGGTAGCCTAGGAGAAAAAATATGGCTGCATCACTAGCTGTCTATATATAAAGAAATCCTTATATTTAAAGAGTATATAAAGTCTTATATATGATGCTCTTTAAGTTTGGGAATGAGATTCTCAAAAGGTTGGGATTGAGATCTCGAACATGTGGGGATCTCTATCCCTAAAATATACATTGTACAGATGACACTTCCTACCATAGGACTCTTCTATCCTTTCCAGATCTTGCGCCTCTTCCCAATTCCAAGAACATGTCAATGACATCTTATCGGTCATATATCCTTTCCCTTCTCGTTGTGGCATACTTCCCTATTTGTATACATGAGTTTGGTGCATCTTGAATACACACACCAAAGGAAAAACCTAACACAATACTATAGCATTTTTCCTATAGCTGAGTGCTGTTAATCTTAATTTTCAATCTTAATCTGATCGTTGAGAGCTCATCTACTCTTTGTTATTTACAAACTCAATCAAGTTGAGATTTTGGTCATCCACACTTCCAACAAGGGCACACTTCTTAAAATATGAAAACAATATTGCAAATAAAAATAAAATGGCCAAAGTACCCCTGAAACTTTCAGGGCATTTGGGTCCTTTTATTTTATTTGAAATGTTCTTTTGCTTTTAACTAGTGCTTCCTTGTTGGAAGCTTGGATTCCCAAAGTCTTAGTTTAGTCCAAGTGAAAAAATCAAATTAAAATACAGATACACACTCTCAACCATCCAATCTTTTCACTCTAGGAAAAATGCTGTGCCATTTTCTAGTTTTTTCTTTCATATATATGTACATATACATCATGCATGCACGCACACAGAAAATTCTTGAGCCCGATGGGGTTCTAAAAGAGCTCCAACCCCAGAATTTATGTCCATCAAATGAACTACTCAAATTTTGATAGTAGTCTAATTTGATTTAGATCATTCTTTGGAGCTCCATGTTGACATTTTTTTTTTTGTGGTTCCAAATCAATTATGTTTTGGATAGTGATTTTAGGTGGAAACCTATTCTTGGTCCCTCTCCCAATTTGTGGATTTTGATTAGGGACCAATGCTACAACATTAGGCCTTGGCACCATCAAATATTCATGTCTGTGTGTAGGAATGATCTATGGTTGTCATGGTTCAAAATCACATAGGTGATGTTTAGACTGGGTTATGTGTATGTGTAGGGATTTTCTGTGGTTTTCATGGTTCAAATCCACGTGGGTGACGTTTAGAATGGGATAATCCAAAATATCTTATTGGGACTTGGTATCATAATCATCGTCATAGCCTTTTCCCAACTAAGTGGGTCGGCTACACTAATCGTGGTCCGCTATTATGCTCTATCAACGACCATACCCTCAGTGAGGCCTTGTATATATAGATTAAAAGGGTTTAACGATTTTTATGAGATTTTAAATTTTTGACCAGAATTTTTGCAACTGTTAATCGAATGAACCTCTTACTTACCAAGAAAGAAGAACAACTACGAAAGTCTTTCCTTTATAGTGGTGTATGTAAAGGGAAACATGTTTCCTATGCGTTAGGATTCTGCGAAGCATAGCTTCCTTCCTAATTCGGAAGATATTCTGAACATTTGTATCATTTACCACCTCTTGACACATGAGATCAAAGTAATTCTCTAATTTTAACTTTTATTGCAAAAAATTTAAAAATAAAAAAGGGAGATCAAGCTACTTCATTCAGTTGTTTGATCCCCATTCCCCTGCCCTCCACTTTCAAGATAGTCTGGGTATATGAGAATATGCCGATTGAGAAAAACAGTGTCGAGACATCTAAAAGTGAATGAGGAAAAATGATATGTAAAATGTGAGTTAGAAATACGTGTGGACAGAGAAGATAATGTGCTTTGGTAGTTATCTGGAGTAGTGAAGTTCTTAAACATTGTAAGCATATGAGCTGGAAGTTCTACTATTGGATAGACTGGCCTTCTCAATGGATGAAATGATCTTCTAAGCATTTCTTGGTCACACTTTGGTTGGTTTCCATCAGTGCTACTTGGCATCCAATTTGCCTTAAAAGGCTTCAAGAATGAAAATAGCTCTTAGTTCCAAAATTAGTTCCACAATGACAGTGGCAATTTATTGGCTGGTGATACTTATTGCCCATGGGTAACCTTGAAGTAGGAGAAAGTGAAGATGCCTGCATTTGTGCTATAATGGCTTGATTTTGGCTGAAAATTATGAAAAAGTATGAATATATATTGCCGTAATTATATTTAGAGCACATAAGTTGTTGTGCTTTGACCTGTGTTAAAAAATCCCATTCGTGCTTGGACTGTGCTGAACCTTTTCTCATCAGAAATATGAATTTATTTGGACCACCAAGATATACAACATTGGTTTCATGGTTTAAGCTTGATAGGAGGAGTGCATTGTGTATTGGGGACACAGTATGAGGATAATACTTCATTGTATATTGAAGACAGATCCTTTGTTGTGGATGAGATATGGTATTAAAGTGGTTGGAAGCAAGGGCGTGCCAGGTGCAGTTGTCCCTAATGCACCTCTTTTATCATGTCATGAGGTTCGTGATGGGAAAATGTTTTTGTTCATCTTTGGATAAGACATGAGTTGCCATCGGAACACCCTCAAAGACTCGGCTTGGAGGATTAGGGAATTATGATCGTGTCCTAGGTTAGATTCTCCTGAGAATACCTAGTGAGGCTATTTGCCACAGGTATTACTTGAGTATTTTGAGGGATTCTTTTGGTATATTCTATTTTATTGCATTTGCAGGGTTTCTTTTTTGTTTATTATTTATTTTGTGTACAAAAAACATAAGATTTGCAATTTCGAGAAAGTATTTCTGTTTCATGATGTAAAGTTCCAATTGGAAGCATGTTCTTCAGAGCTAAGTTAACCATGGAAGATCGTATCTAAAACAAAAGAAAATTTCATGTGAAGACTAGGAGTGCCTTCAAAGATGTGTGACTCACAAATGCAAAATGAATGGGAATATATTGGTGTTAAAATAGTGTACTTCTGATATGGAGTTAACCATATTTTTTTAAATAAGAAATTAAACCATGAAATAGAATATTTCTATCAAAGGTGTATAGTCTCAAGAACATAATTATTGAAACGGATTGAGAGACATTGGTGTTAAACTAGAGTGACAACTGATATTGAATCGATCATTATTTCGCATTATCTAAGACTCAGAAATATTCACGTTCGTTTTGCACAGTCCCAATATCAGTTATTGCATCTTTCAAGAAGATAAAAGCCCTTATTAGCAATCATGCAATGCTTGCCGATGCTCTCCGGACCTCCAAAAAGCTTGTGAGTTTTTTTTCTTAAAACATGTTTGTGTCGTGCACGTTGTGAATTTTAGCAGTCCTAAATGAAGAGTACTTTGGCTTTCTCCTCTGTTTGGTAGGTTGTGAGCGAAGATGGAAAGAAAGTTAAACGCCTGCATCCCCTAACTGAGTCAGATATCGAAGACTTGCAGGTATATGCATCTATAATCAGTCTCCTTTTATCTACAATTAGTTGTTTGGTTGACTGCACAAGCTAGGGTCTGGTGTATTTTCCTCCTTGTGCTTTTTTATAGGCCATTGCTTTATTTTCATTCTTGTCGTTTTTTTGGCAGTCACGTACAGTTGTTGTTGAAAATTTGCCCGAGGATCATTCTCACCCAAACCTTGAGAAGATATTCTCTGTTGTTGGAAGGTAAGGCATCCGTTTATTTGTTATTTTGTTATGCCTTATATTGGAAAACACTTCATTTGTTCTAAAATGTGAGATGGTATACATGCTTCCAGTGTGAAGACAATCCGTATATGCCATCCTCAGGGTGCAAATGGTACTGCTTCATCGGCTGCTCGATCTCCGAAAATGGACATGCTTGTTAGTAACAAGGTATTTTATATTCTATCAAGGTTTTTTCTTGAATAGAGCTGTAAACGAGTTGGATCAACCTGGCACAATACCACAGACATAGCACACATAACTGTGTGTGCCTGTGTATATAACTACACAGGCACCCACAAACATACACACAGGCACATATAACTAGTTTGGGTCAAGCCAGACCCAGACCTGGACCAGGACCCAGTCTGGTCCAGATGTTTTGGGCTTGGATCTGACACGCGGTTCCATTTTTTGGTCTGGACCCAGACCCGTGTCAACCTAAACTCAATCGGTACGCATATTCTTGTGTGTCATTATTCTGAAACCTAACTATTTAAGGAGCTTTGGCTAAATTATATTGATACAGTTTGATCGGAAACCGTTTCTAAAAAACCATTTTTAAAATTAAAGTAAAAATAAGATTTATTAAGCTTGTTGTTCTTTCCATCTCTTGAGTGGGTGTTGTTCTTAGATGTGGGATCTAGTTTGGATTTGGGCTGTTGGTTGTTTTGAAAACGATATGAGCATATCATTAGAAAGGTTTACCAATTGGGACCAGAGAAAGAGAGCAACTACACTTCTTAATAGAAAAAAGGAAAAAAAGGCAAGTTTTATCTTCTTTTGATGGTGATATTTGAGGTATTATGATATTCAGCTGAAACATCTTTTCATTTTTCTGAAGTTGCATGCATTTGTGGAGTACGAGACAGTTGAGCAAGCAGAGAAAGCGGTAAGTCGTTTTTTCTTTATAAATCCCAGGAGTTCTAGCTAGTAACTGGTAATTTTGCATACTCTTCTTTCCATTTTCGTTTTTCGTTTCGAGTTATGATGGGGCAATCTATTGCTTATAGGTTGCAGAGCTGAATGATGAACGTAATTGGAGGAGTGGACTTAGAGTGCGATTACTGCTTAGACACACGGTACTTTGCTTCAGTTTCAAGTGTAACTCTAGCAATAGAAAATATTGCATAAGAGAAATAAATGATAAAAAATATAATGTTTATACTCTCTCTCTCTGTGTCTTTCTCTCTCTCCCCCCCCCCACGTGTTTATGACAATGTGGTAATAACTACCTTATCCCAATACACCAGGCCAAATCCGAAAAGCCAGGACGAGCTAAAAGAGCAGATGGGAATGGGGAGGAGGATGAAGCATCGACATCTGAGCTATTGAGTGAGAAGCATGTTGATGATCAGTCTCCATCACCTGAATTGTCCAACGACAGCATTGTAAGTCATTCACCTCCAATGAGTCCACCAAGTAGCACACACGCGTAACCCAAGATCTCTCTCTCTCTCTCTCAATTCCCCGAATGTATTGCAGAGGATATCTCTCTAATGATTCCCTAGACACATAGACAATGTGTTTATCATGATTCCCCCTCTCTCTCTCTCTCTCTCTCTCTCTCTCATTCTCTCACTCATATTATGTGAACATAAATCAAGCTCTCATTTGTCACTAGCTACAAACACACCAAGCGCTCTCTCTCAGCCTTGTCCTTGTACAGGGGGATGAAGGATCTCATGAAAGGGAAGGTGGGGGGAGGAGAAGTAGGGGCCGAGGCAGAGGCAAGGCTCGTGCACGTGGCCAACACCCTAATGGATGGGGTACTACTATGCACTCTGTGGGCACCCCTCCAACATCATCCAACAATAACCACGCACTCACAATGCCACCACCTGAGCCCAAGCACCCTCCTCCTGGTCCGCGGATGCCTGATGGAACAAGAGGCTTCACTATGGGTCGAGGAAAGCCAATGGAGATTGCCACCCAATGAATGATGCATGCCTCTTGTATTTGCACTCCTGCCTCTCTCTCTCTCTCTC